TGGGATACGGACTCCAAGCTCTCCCTCGGTGAGCCAAGCTCACGTTCGGCCATCCGTCCCGTTGGCCTCTTCGATATTGGCCGACGATGTGCATCCCCTAGTCCGAGGCTCTACGCACTGGGTTCGATCCAACTCGGGGACGGGAAACAGGGTTGGAGTGGGACGAAGATGTGTCCTGGGGCTTGACCCCCTCGTCGTTGCCAATCTTCATGACCAACGGCTGAGGTGGGGGCGTTGGTGTAGTGTTCTCCCCGGTCCTTGGCATCAGTGCGCTGAGGACGGTGGGTTCTGAGCAAGGCTGGCTATGATGGCCGATAGAGCGGCTTGGAGTTGAGGGTCAGCAGCGGGAGCATCTTGCTGCCCCGATGCATGGTCACCTGTGTCCATGCGCTTCCTCTCAAGGCCGATACAGGCGTATTTAGCATTGCCGTTAAGCTGGTTGCGGAGGTCCACCACGGGGTCGATGGCCTCCTGGAAGACCTCCTCGTCCATGACCTTATCGGCCGTAGCATCACTGGAGCATTCACGATCCTCCTGAGTTTCGGGGATTGCCTTGCTGATGAGGTTACGGTTCGACTCTGTTCTTCCCATAGTCAGTTAGCTGTGCTTGGTAGCGACGAAGGATGCTAACTTGATTGTTCTAGCTCTCAACGAGAGCACCAAATGATTGAGTATTGACTCCTAAAGAGAAGTGAGAGCTAGAGAGAGAAATGCAATTTTATTAATGAATTTGTGAACCCTTTACATGGCTCCCAAGGGGAGTATTTATAGGGAAATGTGGACTGGGCTCCCAAACCTTGGGCTTGAGAGGCCCATTACAATATAAGGCCTCTATTGGGCTGATTACATGAGGAGTCTAGTTGTGAGAGCTCTCTGTGGCCGACGGGCGTTTGGCCGAAGGAGGCACCCCGGTTCTCCTGGCCTCCGGACCGTATTCTGAGTTGATGTCTATCCGACCGATGGAGGGCCATCTGGCCGAGGGAGGCACGACCGAGGAAGGCACGGCCGAGGGAGGACAAGTCTTCCAGAGCATATTCTGGATTGACCCTTCTTTGGCCGATGGGGTGCCATCTGGCCGACGGAGGGCCCACTGGGTGAAAAATGTGCTCCTCTTAGTCTTCTGAGTATGTGGACCATGTGGTCTAGACCCATATACTCCATCAGTGTGCATACGAGGAAAATCACCATAAAAATAATTAAAGACTGCCTCAATATTGCAATAGATAAAATATATGTTCACTTATTGCCACACTTAATGAAAGAGGTAAATGGCTTCTATATGTATGAGTAAGTGTCCAAAATAATTCCATGTATATATAACATAGGGACATAGCTAGACAAAATATATGTTCACTTATTGCTCACTTGTCATACAAAAAGTAAACTCAAATGGTAAAAGCTCTAAAAAAAAATTACAACTAAGTAGGGAGAGGAAGCTTAATGTGCAACAACCTCCAAAGAAAACCTCAAATTTTCAAAGGTTGACTAAAATTAAATTTCCCTGCAATGTTGCACTTTTGTGATACCATGACGAAGATAGACCCCAAGATAATTTAAAAGACAGTTTACTTCTTTTCATATCAAGAAACTTCCCCATAGACAACAATCTAGTTGTAGGGAGCTTGGATGGAGTGATGACATAAATTTTATTGAGTATAAGCCATTTGACCATATGTCTATTGATATGATTGTACAAATTTAGTGAAAGACTTAATAGAATGTGTGCAACCATTGAGAAAAATGAGACGGTCATTCACATATGCCAAGTATAAAACTCAATAAACCCGTATATAAAAAGAAATTCTTTAATTTGTTATTGAATAATATAATTTAGTCCTCTAGAGAAACCTTAAGACAAAAGAATGAACGGATAGGAGAAAAGGAATTCCTTGCTTGATCTTCCTCTCTCATTTGAGAAAGTCGTATATTGAATCCTTTACCAATAGTGAAATAAAGGTGGAGTCTAGGTTGTTCACAATTTAAAGGAAAAAGGGTGAAATAGACCCTTTTACAATTGCAAATAGATCAGTTAAACCCTTGTACTAAAATAACCATCATATAAATCCATCTACCCTTAACAACTAATCAATTAGGCCAAATTACCTGCAGGTAACCTTTAATAGCAGGTTACCTTTTGCCCTTTCTCTCTCATATTTATTTTCTTCTTTTTATTTTTTGATTCCTTAGACAACCCCACGGGCTCCTTCACTTTTATCGTCCCTTATTTTCTCTTACTTAATTCATTTTTCTCATCCCTTATCCACCATCAAATGTGCCCTCCTCCACCATTCCCAACCAATTCTTCAAACAAAACAAAAATTGAGATTGCAGCTTATATACTCGTATTATATACAGAGTATATATATACAAATGCACATACGCGCACGCACACACACATATACATCCAAATTAACAATAATTATTATTAATGTTTCATAAAAGCTGTCACGCCCCGGACCTATCCGGACACGTCAACAATCCACCGTACAATATGAATAGTCAACCGCAGTCTAACTCATCCATATTATACAAGGCGTCTCGAATATCATTCACACATAAGTCATCCATAAACATACATAATAAGTAATTGAATACGCATCGGAAATCATAGTTTGAAAACAAGTGCCACACGGGGCAAACACGGGCACGCAGGCTCCATAATGAAAAACAATATTCATGAGCATGTTTAAATTGTTTAAAAACAGAATGGAGGAAGCACGAACCAATTCTTCCCTCTGAGATGATCGCCCGATCAACAAGCACAGGTAGCAAGCTCTAGCTTCAACCTGAAATGGTGGTGGGACGCCCCCAGAAAGGGGGTCTGTCACGCCCCGGACCTAGCCGGACACGTCAACAACCCGCCGTACAGTACGAATAGTCAACCGCAGTCCAACTCATCCATAATATACAAGGCGTCATGAATATCATTCACACATAGTACATCCATAAACAAACATAATGTAAAACATGCATTTAAAACAGCGGAAGCATTAATACAATTGTTCAAGCCACACTTGGCATAACTAGGCATACAAGCCCCCAAAGTAATTATTCAGAAAATAGTACCCATAAGCATTAACGTGATTGTTTTTAAAACAGAACGGAAGAAGCACGAACCACGTCTTCTTCCCTTGAGCCTCCCGAAGCAACGGGCAATGGTAGCAACCTTCAAGTTCTACCTGAAACTGTGAGGTGGCCTCCCCGTGAAGGGGAGGTCAGTACTTGGAAGCATTTGACAAGTACAATAGCAACTATACTAAGTATAATCAACGTTTTAATTTCCAAGACCCTCAAAATAGGGTGATATCATAATATAAATAATAAATTATATTTCCCACTTATTATCTTTATAATAAGTAAATTCATTTATTTGTCGGCACACGGCCCTTCTTATATATTCCTTTTCATTTATCATTTGCACAACCCAACCCTTGGGTCTTATTATTTCTACGGGACTTGCTACCGCTGTCCGAGACCTCATGAGGCTCCCGGTTCGGACTCCAACATCCCGCCCCTGGACTCATACCAATCATCCCATAGGAAGGTAAGGCCCTTCGGGGTCCTATCTTATGTGTTACCGCTACCGGAACCTAGTTAGGTCTCCGATTCGGATTCCACCCTAACCCGTGATCACGATGTAAGTCCATGCTATCCAACCCCGCTCTCTAGAGTCGGGAAGGGCCATGGTCCTTACTTATTTCCATAATTCAACCGGCTATCCACAAGGACTACCGAACACACCCGTAGGCCAATCCTATACCGAGGATCAATTTATTACTTACTTTATCTTGGGTATCCCTTAAGGCCTACCCCTAGTATAACTTAGAGTTCATACTTTCCTACCTTAAAGCATCTCTTAAGACTACTTAAGGCATAACATTTCACAATCCAACCTTAGGATAATCTTAACAACATTTCATCTTAATGTCCAACTAGTATCTTAATACTAGTTAAATTAATACCAACAAAACAAGTTCTCAACTCATAGTCATATAGACAATTCCAACTTATTTTCCTTTGAAAATATCATTTATCTCAATATTCAAAATATCACTTTTAATCACTCATATATTCTAATATGAAGAAAAAGTATATTTCAACATATGTTTCATAATAAGTTCCACTTTCAAGTCAACTTATTCATAACACATGATCATACACAATTTACTCTTGAATTTGTATATCATGCTCCTTTTTCTTTAAACATTAGTCTTCTCATTCTTAGGCATTATTAATCATTAATAATCCATAAAAACACATTTAATTACCTTAGGAAATCTCATGAAATTAACTCACTAATTATAAGCAATATAGTCAGCCATCCTCACCTTATGAAGTGCTGAAATAGTTGCCTTTGCTAAGCCCCTCGATCAATCCCCATTCTAGGCCGATTGAAAGTGGAAAACTGGACTGCTGGGCAAAAGCCGGGCGGCTTTCGTAGTCTGCAACTACGAACAGCTCCTACTAAGTGGCGGTTTCCGGCGATTTCGACTCCTATCGATTCACCAACTCTTCTAAGTTAATTAACACCACTTTATATCAATATTCTACACCTTTTAAATGTGTAGAACATCATATTTATTCCAACGTATGATTTCTAAAAAAATCATACAAGAATAAACTAGTTAAAAGAACTATTGGTGTTCTTACCTCAATGCCTAGCTTTTTCTCTTTGGATTTTCTTTCTTCTTGCTTGCCTCAAGCTCCATTCTTTGTTAGAGACTTCCTGGAGCTTATACTCTCCTTGTGAGGTCCGAATGAATGCAAGGAATAGGGGGATGGCATCAGATTTTCAATCAAGACCAATGCACATGCATTGAGAGAACATGGGGTGTATTTCTTGTCCTCAGGAGGCTTCCTCCTCCTTAGGTCCGCACACACATCCCCTCTTGCCCCTTCCAGCTCTCACTCAGTCAAATAGAGCACATAAAAACGTGGGGTGGCCCCCACTCAGGTGGGAGGTCAACCCTTTTTTTTTTGGGAAATGTAAATATATATAGATAGTAGCCAAAGTTTATGTACATCATGTGAGCAAAATTTGAGGCATATCCAAGTATGGATATCCTATACCATCATAAGCTGTCTAAGCTCGAAATCTAACATCTATCATCTAGCAAAAATAGCCATCAATCTTATGACAAAAAAGGCTAGTGTTTAGTTCAAAATGGAATCATATGATATGGATATATAGAGTAGAGCACTTTATACACCATATACTTGATATGTGGGAGCATGTCTTCCATCTTTAGTGTGGCTCCATCAAAACGAAGTGCATTCCTGGTTTTCCATATCCAATAGATTGTGTAGCTAAAAGCTATCCTCATAGCCTTTGCCCTAATATTTGCTCCATTGCATTCTCTTTGGATCCATTTCACCGCACTCCTTAGTGTTTACATTTGCCTCGAGATGCCAATCCACTCCTTCACACTTTTCCAAACCTGGCCTGTACAAACACATTCAAAAAATAGGTGTGGTACCGTCTCCGGACCACCCTTACAAAAGGGACAAATATTAACAATATCAAGATAAACCATGTTGTCATAAGTAGGTAGTCTATTCCGGTAGGCTAACCACATTATGAACGAAAATTTGGGAGGTATATAGGCCCTCCAAATGAAGGACATCCACGCATGAGCATTCCCTTTAATCCTTAGGAGGTCATAAATCTTGGAAGAAGAGAGTTTGCCATTGTAAACCATCTTTCCAAGCTGGGTTATGGTCTCAGTTACCGAATGGTATTTTGAGACAATAGAGTCTCGGATCAGTGCAATTCTTTTCATCAGTTGTGAGTCTCTATTACGTGGAACAAACGTCCACACATCTCTCCCATAGAGATAGACTCCATTCGCCCATCTCACCCAAAGAGTGTCCTGTTTAGCATGAATATTCCATAATGTGCGAGCTAATAATGCATTATTCCAAACCTTGGTATCCCTAATCCCTAGCCCCCCTTCTTCTTTTGGTAAGCAAACATCCTCCCAAGCTACCTTAGCATGTTTTCCCCCCAAAGGAAGATTCTACAAAGACTAACAATTCTATCCAAAATTGTTTTGGGCACCGGGAAGATACCCAACCAAAAGGACTGTACACCTTGAATAACCGACTTAATCAACTCAACTTTCCCCGCATAAGATAAAGACTTAGTATTCCATGCCTTAAAATAGCCTGTCACCGTGTCAATCAACGGAGAGAATTGGGCAACCGAGATCTTTAAAGGAGCCAATGGAATACCAAGATATCTTACCGGAAAAGATCCTTGTTGAAAGTCAACCATTTGTAGAATGAAAGGTAGTTTTTTTCCTATGTTTCCCCCCACAAAAATATTAGATTTATCTTGGTTAACCAATAGACCCGAAACCTTCCCAAAATCATTTAATGCATCAACCAAAATTTTAATGGATTTGGGTTCCCCCTTAGAAAAAAGCATCAAGTCATCGGCATAGGCCAAATGTGAAATCTTAAGCTTGGAACATAACGGATGGTAGTTAAAATTTGGATTTGAAGTCCTAATAGCTAGCATCCGGGACATGTATTCCAAACACAAAACAAACAACATTGGGGACATGGGGTCACCTTGTCTCAAACCTCTCTTTCCTTCAAACCAACCATGTAGATTGCCATTAATAGATATTGAAAAGGAAGAGGTAGAGACACATTCCATAATCCAGTTTACAAAAATGTTTGGCATTCCAATTCCCCTTAGAGTTTTTTCAAGGAAATCCCAAGAAATGGTATCATATGCTTTCCTAATGTCAACTTTGATCATACATCTAGGAGAGACCCTCTTTCTAGCATATCCCCTCACCAATTCTTGTGCAAGAAAGATATTATCTGTCATTAGTCTACCATCAACAAATGCCCCTTGTGATGGATCAACTACGCTAGAAAGACATGGTCCCATTCTAGATGCTAAAATCTTAGTAATGATCTTGTAAGTCACATTTGTACAAGAAATGGGCCTAAAGTCCGAGACCGTAGGAGAATGATTAGTCTTAGGAATGAGTGCTACAATGGTATGGTTAACCTGTTTAAGCATGTTTCCGGACTCAAAAAACTCCTTAACGGCAGCACACACATCCTCACCAACTTTACTCCAATTTGATTTGAAGAAAGCTGATGAGTAACCATCTGGTCCAAGTGCCTTATCATTTCCTATGTCAAACAATGCTTCTTTAATTTCCAAATCTGATACAGGCCTAATTAGATCATCCACAAAAGATTGGTCTATAGTTCTGCCCGCACCCATAACATTAGGATCAAAGCCAATAGAAGGAACCACCATACCAAATAAACCTTTGAAAAAGGTAATAAATTCATTTGCAACTTGGTCCATAGATTGAGTGAGAGACCCATCTTGTAGCCGAATGGATGCAATTGCATTCTTTGCTTGCCTTTTTTAACAATTGAATGGAAGTACTTCGTACATCTATCCGATTGCAAAATATGGATAGCCTTGGCTTTTTGTTTGAGATAAGCTTCCTCGGCCTCCTTAAGAAATAAAGCTCTTTTCTTAGCAATATTCATTTCCTCTTTAAGAGCATCATCATGAGGATCCAAAAGAGCTAATTGATAGACTCTTTGATATTCCTTTTTAGATTCCTTTGCTCTTGCCGAGATATGACTAAATTCATTTACATTTAGTAGTTTTAGGGGCTGTTTTAGGAGCTTGAGTTTACGGGCCAAACGAAATTGAGTCGTCCCTCAATATTCCTATTCCAAACTTCCTCTAAAATACCAACAAAACGATCATGTTTCATCCACATATTGAAAAATTTAAAAGGTTTAGATCCATTTTTTGTTGTATTGCCAATACTTAATAGTGTAGCTACATGGTCAAAATCACATTCCATTTCAAAGAAATGAGCTCTACAAGTTATCCCATGAGCACTCCATGTAGGGTTAACAATAATCCTACCTAATTTAGCCCAAATGACACCTCTATTCCAAGTGAAAAACTCACCCGTAGAAGGGGCATCATCTAGATAAGTTTGGATTTTCATCTCATTAAGATCCTTCATTAAGTAGCTCGTGGGAGGGGCAGAACCTTTTCTTTCATGCGGTGAACCCACACAATTAAAATCCCCCAATACAGCCCAAGGTCCAAGAATATTTGTACTAAGTCTAGTCAAATTTCCCCAAAGAGGTCTCCTTTCCATAACCGTATACAAGGCATACACAAAAGAGGCATAAAAATAAACTTGCGTTATTTTACACCTAAATCTTGCATGCACATGTTGAGTATCAACCTCCAATATATCTTCATCAACATAACTAGGATCCCACAAAATAGCAATACGGTCACCCCCAATCTTGTCAAAGTTTGTCACATACATCCAATTTGGTAATCTAAGATTCATAAAGTTAGCAAAACTAGTTAAAGACATTTTCGTTTCAAGAAGACACATAACACGTACCTTGTTAATCCTTGTGAAGTTTAGTATATTGTTTTGTTTTGAGGCTTGATTCAGCCCCCTTACATTCCATGATGTAACTATCATAAAAAACATGCTAGTGTTTCCTCCCCTTCCTCTTGTTCGGCCTAGTGACCTCCCATTGCCTTATCTTCTATGCTCGATACTCCTCACACCCTCTATACCTAGCAAGGAAAAGATCATAAACATTTATAATAAAGTTAGAAGGGAATTCATACCCTTGCTCCGTTAGGCTTGCCCCGGGAAGAGATTTTAGGCATTCGGTGGTGAAAGTGATTCCTTTGCGTGCCAAGCTTTCCTCCTCATCCAAATAGTTATCTAGCCTTGTCATCATCACTTCCACATCATCACAATGCATGAGGTGGATCCTCGGCTTCTCTCCTTCTTGGAACTCAATCTTTGTGATCACATCATCCAAATATGCCTCTTTGATATCTCTTACCACCCGGACTGTTTTTCTTGTAAACTTCCTCAAATCCTTCACTTTGCTTCCATTGCCCATTAGGTGACCATCCTCAAAGTACCCATAAAGGTAGTGTCTATACACACATCTCATGAAAAGTGAGGTATAAACACAATCCTTCTTTTTCCTTTTCACCCCCGGGAGATTTTCCAAGCATTTTTTGGTAAAGAAGACCCATGGTTGAGCATCATCTACCACTTGTAGAAGGTGGTTCAATCTGATTGTAGGCTCGGTTATCTCCTCAATGTGTGCCACTTTGATACTAGGTTCCCCAAACTCATCCGCTACCATTTCTATGATGACTTCATCATCAAAGAAATCCTTGAAACTTGTAATCTTTCTCGGTTGGTCATCCTCCTCATCATGCTCTTGTATAGTTTCATATCCGGAAGATACTTCTCCATCTTCCCTTGGTTGTTTTTTCTTTTTAGGCTTCCTCTTTTTCTTCTTTAACCTTGCTGCCTTAATAAAAGGGTGCTCTTCTTTTAGGGCATAAGAGTTGGCCAATTCCGTGGCATTGGAGTTTTTGGATGTCCCCCCCCCTGTGATGCCGCGGCATTAGTGCTTTTGGAAGTCCCCCCCTGTGATTCCACGGCATAAGTGCTTTTGGAAGTCCCCCCCTGTGATGCCGCGGCATGAATGCTGCCATTCTCTAGTGGAGCCTCACCATTACTCATCGGTGCCTTTCCCTTTCCTTTGTCCTCTTTGTGTTGATCCTCTTTCCCTTGATCTTGCATCTTCTTCTCTTCCCTTTCCTTCCTCTCCATTTCGGCTAGGACTTTGCAAGTAAATGCATGATGCCCATAGGCCTTGCAATTGAAGCAATAATTTGGAAATGTTTCATAGATCATCTTTTGGAAGTGAAACCTCCCATTCGGCAATCTCACTATCAAGGTGAGTGGTGGCGGTTTGGAGGCATCAACTTCAATTAGGACTCTTGCATATTTAGAAATGGACCTCTCTTGGGTAACTCTATCCGTGGTTAGTGGCATGCCCACCCTTGAGGCTATTTCACTTATGACATCTTCATTCCATATTTGCAATGGGAGGTTGGGGAATTTTACCCATATTGGAACTTTTAAGAATTCATCACTTTCAAAGGAGAAGTTGTCCGAGAGTGTCTTGAGGTAAAGTGATTTTCCAAATAGAGTATAGGGACCCTCCATGAGGACTTTGGATCTGTCCTCCTCCCCTTGGAACTTGAAAATCACCCACCCTCTATCATGGGTTCTTACTTTGCAAGGAACGCCCCATTTTGATACAAGCTCTTGTATTGGTTTAAAACCGGGATATCTACCCTCGAAGTACCCAACAAGACAATGACCCCAAATCTCCACCATTGAGGGCATACTTCTATCAAGTAAGTCAACATAGTCACCTACGGGCTCAATAAACCTTAACTTCATCCCTTTAGTAGGCTCCCTATTATCCTTGAATAAGGATGCATAAGGTTTGGAAATTGGAGTTTCGGCCACTTTGAATGGAAGAGTTTTGCCAAGGGCAGCAACATACAAATCATTAACCTCCCCCTCTACTTGAATTTGAGGTTCGGTTACAGTATCATTTTCAATCAAAACAATATCCGTAGTGCCCTCCTTCATTTGTTTTTCCACTTGACCAACATTTTGGTTTATCACCACACTTTCCTTGTTAGCGTTTTGTGTGTCACGAACCTGTTTTAGGAGGGGTACAGGAGCCTCAGGGTCATGAGGTTGAGCAGCAAACTCTGGTTGCAATGGCCTTGAACTTTCCTCGGATTCACTAGCATTGAGGTCCAACTCTAGTTCCGAGTCACTCACTTGGTCCATTGTCGAGAGGGCCTCCTCCACTTCTTTGTTTTTTGCCTTTTCCTTTAGCCTTGAAGAAGGTTTCGTTGGAGCTTGGGGCTCCTTCTTTTTGGCCGTAGACTTAGGCATTATGTTGGTAAAGTGAGCAAGGATGATAGGAACTTCAAACCATGGAAGGGGAAGCTAAAAATAGCAACCCCTTCTAAAACGAGTACCTTTGTAGTTTTTCTTGCCTTTTGAGCTAGGATTCCGTATCAATGGAGTCGGATATGAACAGTAGCTTGTTGTACGGCTGAGGTTGATGATGAAACAAAGTAGATAAAGTTGATCCTCACACCAAGGCGAACCTCAATCTATGCTCAAATCAATTTTTGGCCGAGTAGATGTTGAGTTACGAGCGTTGACCTTCTTGAGTGAATAGTAGATGTGCGCTGGTTTTTTGGCGATTTGGGGACGGAAGGAGCAAGGATATCCAAGATATTACTCGACCAAGGAATGGAGGAAGTAATACCAAGGATATACGAGCTCCGGAGAGGTGGTTGATGGTGGTTTGCGGTGGTGGAGAGGCGGTTTCCGGCGTGAAGGAGCCAAATATTACCGTTGCGGAAATATTTGGGAGAGAGGAGCTCTCAACCCTCACTAAAACCGATAGGCGCTGGTTTCAAAATCCGCTGGTTTCAGGTGGGAGGTCATCCCATTGTGTCCCGATGTGTATAATCGGCCCCGAAAGTTGTATTTCTCGGACTGTTTTAATCATACTCCCTCCGTCCCTTATAACTTTGCCAACTTTCCTTTTGTGGTTGTCCCAAAAACTTTGCCACTTTCCTTTTTAATCAATCAATTTATGGCTCATGTTATTTCTCTTTCCTCTGCACTAATCTCTACCACACAGTTTTTACTTTATTATTCTACGTGCCAGTCAAACTTGGCAATCCTTTTAGGGACAGAGGGAGTATTTTATTTTATTGGGCCAAATAAAATATATCACTCGTCCCTAATACTTAGGGGCCTTTAGAATAGATGTACATTCCCCAACATTAATTTAGGAGTCTCCGAAACTCATTTCGGGCTGTTATCCGCTAAATTACCAATACCGGTAATTGGGCCTCATTTGACCCACCGGTCAATTCCTTGCCCTTCCCGTGGCCCAAATAAAATATCCACCACCATGTAGATGTCGTCTGGACCAAGATGGATATAATATGTGGTGCGGGAATTATCGGGCGGTCCCCGTTCCCGCTGTGGGCCTCACATGCAATTTACTATTCACGTAAAAGAAATAATAAAATTTAACAATTACGTAAATCCATAACTCATCTTTCAAGGTTTACTACATCATTTACTAAAAGTAAACATGCTTGTGGACGGTGTCACAGGGTCAGTACTATATACGGCTATAAAGTACTGGTGTGGATGGCATCTAATAGATATACAACAAGTATTTCAAACACAAGACCCTCAAATAGGGTGATAATATAATTCTAGGCCGTAACCCCAAGTTACCCCTTTTTAAAATATACTTACTTTATATATAAAGTCAAGTAGTCGGTCCATTGCCCAAAGTTCGTTTACAAAAAATAACCCAAACCCCGTGACCCCTAGTCACGAAAATACATAGGGTTCAACCCTAACACACATGTTTGCATTTCTCGAGTCCAACTCAACTACATCACCATGCACATCAGTCACAAGTCAATTACTCCACCAATCTCCGACGTCATGTTCACCCATGCAATTCTAGAGCATCGGGCTCAAGTACATCTCCTTGCATTGGCATAGACCCCAATTCTTAAGCATTCGCTATGCCTAGAATTGTAATATCATTAATCTATTTCGGGACATCCTTACGGACTGCCTCATCATGATCTTAGCATCACATTACAACAATTTACTCACTTGAACCACAATCAAGTATATCACTTACAATCAAATCCTTAGATTCAATTTCTTAACAATTACAAACAATCATTAACTAGTATTCCAATACTATTAAGATTATTCCCATCAATCATATATTTCATTTGTAAATCCCTACATATTTAGAAATATGTAGCAGCAACTTAGTCATCCAATGTAATACATAAATAATCATTTATGTATCTACACAATTCACACATGAGTAAAAATGCCTATTTCACACAATAGTTCATTTAACTCCATTTTATCAATATGATTTCCAAATCATTTGCAATTTCATTACTTATCTAATATATCAATATTTCATCAATAATCAGTCATTATAATCCATGAAAAACATGATTTAGGCATTTAGGTAATCTCATGCTTAAAATGAGCTTTAAATTGTTCCTTCTCAACCCAATGCTCAAGCTTCATCCAAGGGGGTTTGAGAATTGATTCCTTGCTTATAAATAGGTGTTAAACAGCCTCCTCAAGGTGCTTGCTCAAATCCTAACCGAACACACGAAAACAACCCTTAGAACGGGTGTTTTCCGGTGAATTCGTTCCCTAACCTTTCAAGGTTTTGTCTAGGTTAGTATCTAACCTTTCCAACGAATAAAATCACTTCATAACAACATTTTTTACACCTCAACCAGTGTAAAATAGTTCCTCAATCATTTATATTATTTAGACAATAGAAAGGAAGGTTTTGGATCCGAACTTACTTTGAATACCAAAAACGTATTCTGCGAGATTGCGTTCTGTTCGGATGATTTTGAGGTCTTCAACTGCTCCGTTTTCTTCAAACCGCACGTCTACGGATTCCTAGTTTAGAGAGCTTTCAGTGGACACCTCTCACGCCTCTCTTGGATGAGTAGAACGCGAGATATGAGTCTCACAAGAAGGCAAACGCACCGGAAATTCCCCCTGCGGCCAGCTCTCCAATTTCCTCTCTTCTTGGGTTGTGCGGCTCCCCTCTCTTCCTTATCTCTTTTACTTCGAATGGGGGTGAGAGAGAGGTTCTTAGAAGCTTTAAATGTGATCTGAACGAGTGGGTCTAAAAAAAAGGAAGGGTAGGGTATTTGATCCCAATCAAACATGGGATGGTCCTCCTCTTTTATTTCTCTTTTGTATTGTTTGAGCTCTTAACTCAATAGGTCCGCCCCATTTATGAGTTCTAACTTATTCTACTTGTTTTGCATCTTCTAGGAAGGTGTGGGGCGTACTCTCATGTCCCCTAATTAATTTGGGAGCAAAATATCTACCAATACATCCAAAAGTGGAAAGATGGGTCCTATCATTTTTGTCTTTTGTCCTAAGATGTACTTTTGTACTCTCCCCAATTTATTCAGATCAAGTCAACCTCCTACATCATATTATTGGTCTCTAATATGTGTAGGGTGGTCCCAATAATTTATTTGATGTACAATCACAAAAGAAAACCCTACTCCCATTATTTAGCCTAATAATGCCAAAGATGGGACCATAGGCATTTGTATTCTTCTCAAATCATTCCGTCATTCATTTATGATGTTAATATATATATAAATATATATATATCTGGGCTACCAACCGTGTGGTTCACCCTCCAATGGGTCTAGGATGCCATTCTTGAATAATTACTATTTTTAGCAGGTTAGGCCCAAAATAACATTTGGGCTGCCCGACCGCTCTTACATTGTACCGATGGGTTGTATATCTTTATTTAAAGATGTTGGGCCCCGATATCAATGATATGGCCCAATTAATTATTTAGAAGCTCGTTACCATTGTATGATTCCAAATAGTAATATGATTAATCATATGTTCCGTAAAACTTTAATCGTTTTACAATTGTTCAAAAATAGGAAAATTCAATACATAAGCTTTGAAATTAAATTTGAATTTCCAGGACGTTCGGGTGCGGTGTCACAAAAGCTCAAAAGGATCGCAATGCTCCATGTGGGTGTGACCCATTTCAAGACTGATGGTGTTAATCTTATCTGCTTTGATGTCTGGTATTTGAAACTTGAACTCTTCTTCTAGAGCCAAAACAATTTGCACGGCAATTAAACTTCCACGGTCAGTGACTTTCGGTTTATCAAGGATGGAGCCTTTGAATTGGCTAGATCACAGAAATGACGGCTTGGTCCGATCAGCCAGCCAATGGGGGCTCTAGAGTTAGAGATTGAGGCATTATTAACATAGAGCAAAGAATTCTAGTCTCATGTGCTTTAGCAACACATTTCCATCGAACCAAAAGCGGACGGAGACTGGGAGACTAAAGATGGAAAGGAACAAATTGCAGTTGCCGCTAAAAGGATTTTCGAACGGGTGGACAACTAGTACAAAAAATGAAAAGGAAAGAGAGAAAAAAAGAAAGAGAAAAGAAAAAGAAAAGCAAGAAAAAAAGTCAAATCTATCTTTAACCGGCTAAGAGGGCTGTTTTCCGGTGAATCAGGCAAGATTGAACGTTTTTGTGTGACCAAGTGATTCTTTTATTAGTAGATGGATCTATGTGATGAATTTGTGATAGTTGAAGGGCTTATTTGATCATTTTTCCAAATCCAAACCTTTTCAATATAACGTTAAGTAAGTCAAAGCCATCATATTAAAGTAGTTGGGGGAACTCATACTATACACTATACATGCATGGTCACTATACAGATTTATGTACTTGATCAAAATTATCTTTTATGATTGATATATTTTACACCATTACACTTTTTCGAATGTATAAATTATTTTGATTGTCTATGTATTACTCATATATGTGTTCTATTTGACTACTTATGTTACTACTAAGTATTTGAGAGCGTAAATAACATAATATGAGGTTATAAAATGACACTAATCAATAAAGTTCACCGAGATTGAGATATCCATGCTATGTGATAAAATTGACATGTTATATGCTTCATACTTTAATGATGATCAGAAGAATATATTAGAGAATATTAGTATACCTTCTCGAGAAATCATTTGTTATGTTCTATTCACATGTATCTAAAATTATTTGTGTATATGATAGTGCAATAATTCTCTGACTTGAGCTTAATATATACTACATGTGTAAGATAATGCTATATTTTAATCCTTGTAGGGTGCACCGTCAGTGCCTTGCTCTCGAGCATCACCATTGATCACTAACAAATTGAGAGTTTTTACGTGTTACTAATTACTAATGATATTGGTCATGGACAGGGCCGGCTCAGGGCATGGCTGCCCAATCCAACCGCACAGAGCCCAGATTTTCGAAGGACCCAAAAAAAATAGTATTAGACCCAGCCCATTAGTCTTTAGCCCAACATTACCTTCGCCCAAAATCCTGTGCGTTATTGCATTAACTCCCGACTCCCCAGTCCGGCAGTCCCGATTCCATTCATCCGCCCAAAATACATCCGCAGCTCCGCACACCGCCACAAGGCCCACAACCACACCTCCGCACGCCATCGGCAATCAACCAGCGTCCAGCTTTTGCAGCTGTCCAGGGCTCCAGCCTCCAGGCACCACTGCAGGCTCCAAGCAGCACGGCGGCACCATTGCAGTCTGCACCTGTGCAGCGAAGCTGTCTACCGGCCACCACAACCTGCCAGCCGCCTCCCTCACGCAGTCACGCTCCCACCTCCCTGTGTCCGGTCAGTCCACTTATTTTCAGTTTTTTTATTCATTTAGTTGCTAATTCTTGAATTGTGAATTTTTGAATTATTGAATCGGTGAATTGTTTGTTGAATTGTTGAATTATTGTAATTTGTATGTTTTTCTGATTTTCTGATTTCATGTTTGTTGAATTGTTGCATTGTGATTATTTGTTGATTTTTTGCAGTTAAAGTAAACCATTATTTGAATTGATAATAAATATGTAAATGTGTTTAGCAATTAAAATTTAAGAAAGTGGTATAAATATATTATTAAGTAACTTGAGGTCGATAAATTATAATTATACACTAGTATAGTCATTCATGTTTTCACCCTAATTTTAGAGTTGTGTTGCAACTTGAAAAAAGGTCCAAATTTTATTGTTGCACAAGGCCTCTGTTTTCTCGGGACCGGCCCTGGTCATGGATTGGAGTAGCGGTAAGCACCGATAATGGTCATTAACGAACATATAGTTTGTAGTGGTAACTAACAACGACAGTCACTAAGGAAATGCTATTTTGTGGTTGTATAGTTAGACACTTTTTTGAAACACTTAGATCAAGTCATATATTTATCATTTGTATATATTATTGGGCCGCGGGTATGCGGTGCCAGCAATCTGCCAGCCTGCCGGTGCAATCGAATCGCGTGGTGCTTTGCTTGTGCTATAAATGGGGAGGAGTGTGCTACACTATCAGCGATTGCTTTTAGTGTAGCGTTAAGCGCAACGATCCACAGCCGATGTCCTCACCAGCAGATGGGCGTCCCCTCAGCAGATGGACACCGTTGCAGCTCTACACCCTTGGCGTTCATTTTGGGGGCATCCGGTGTGCTCTTTTTCTCTCATTAGGATTTTTTCCCACATGGTTTTTCCTAATGAAGTTTTTAGCGAGGCATCGCCACATCGTGGATAAAAAAGTGTCACCCTTAGCCCCCTTTTGAAGAAACGCATTACTCTACTCCTTTTCACCTCATTACATGTGCTTCAAGGAGTGGGGGACTAGGGGACTATATCGGCCTCCACGGGTTCCAAAAGATCCCAAGATAAACAAGTTCAAAAATGCAACGAACACAAGCCAATGACAATGGTATCTCAACGTCCACAATCATGTGGTCACCCTTCGGCCAAGCCGAAGCGCAAAGCAGGCATCATCCTCAAAACCAATGACAATGGTATCTCAACGTCCACAGCCATGTGGCCACCCTTCGGCCAAGCCGAAGCACAAAGCAGGACACACATCGTCCTCAATGTCAAGGACACACATCGTCCTAAAGATCAAGGACACGTATCGCCCTCAAAGCCAAGGAAACTCCTCGTCCTTAAGGCCAATGGCACGCATCATCTCCGGGACAATGACATTCATCGTCCATATCACAAACAAAACAAACGCGCCACGAGCGTCCGCAAGCATATATAAGATCCGACAACTAAAGTCAAAGGCACAATGGCAGGACATTCATCATCTTCAGAGCCAAGGGAGCACAATGTCCTCTGGTCCAAGACCTTCATCATTCTCAAAGCCATTGACAACAAACTACGAGTGATTTCGCTTCGGCCTGGAGCGCTGAAAGCAATTGTGATGCCTCCGCGGCTGTGCAGGGGTCACACTCATCATCCTCAAAATGAAGGTCACTCATCGTCCTCAAAATGAAGGACATTCATTGTTCTCAAAATGAAGGGCATTCATCGTCCTCAAAATGAAAGACATTCATCGTCCTCGAAAGGAAGGTCAAAAGGCAGCCAACAACTATGGCACCGCCTCGGCCTTGAAATGAAGGGTATTCCTGATGGCTCAGTTATGGAACCCCTCGACCAGAAACGCTAGAACTCCCAGGTAATCCTTCGAAGGCCAAAAGCATCAAGACAATAAGGATCGAGTCCCTTTCACTTCGTCTACATCTCAGCTCAGAGAGTGGGGGACTCCTGATGGAGTATATGGGTCCAGACCACATGGTCCACATACTTAGAAGACTGAGAGGAGCACATCTGTCACCCAGTGGGTCCTCCGTCGGGAAAATGGCACCCCATCGGCCAAAGAAGGGTCAATCTAGAATACGCTCCAGAAGCCAGGGAGAAGATTTGTCCTCCCTCGGCCGTGCCTCCCTCAGCCGTGCCTCCCTCGGCCAGATGGCCCTCCATCGGTTGGATAGACATCAACTCGGAATACAATCCGGAGGCCAGGAGAACCGGGGTGCCTCCCTCGGCCGGGTCTCCATCAGCCAGGGCTCCTTCGGCCAGACGTCCGTCGGCCACAGAGAACTCTCACAACTAGACTCCTCATGTAATCAGCCCAATAGAGGTCTTATATTGTAATGGGCCTCCCAAGCCTAAGGCTTGGGAGCCCAACCCACTTTTACTTATAAATACTC